TCCCCGTCGGAAAAAATACCAACAAAAAAAAAAATCGTTCCCCGGCGGAGCTGATAGCTAAAACCGTTTTGTGATGATGTCGCAGCGACCATAAACGCAAGTTCAACCCTGACACGTAGCCTCTTACGTTGCCGCCCAAACAACACGAATCCGACCAGGGAACGAGTTCGTCAGAAATGGTGTTGCACTACTGTGCCAGGCAATGGCTTTGCTCTTCTCAATGTTGGGGAACGTGCGTTTCCGAATCACCGAAAAGTGTTGCGCACGATGGGCCCATCATCAGGACGAGGGGGAGGAGGAGGAGGAGGAGGAGGAGAATATGGGGACGGAAAAAAGTAGAAGATGATAAGGAAGAGGAGCGGGAGGAGGAGGAGGAAATGGAGGAGGAGGAGGAGGAGGAAAGAGGATCGAGGATCGAGGATGGAGGGGGAGGAGGAGGAGGAGGAGGAGGAGGAGGAGGAGGAGGAGGAGCGGGAACAAAAGGGGAGAAAGATGATCGAGGAGGAGGAGGAGGAGAAAACAAAAAAGAGGACAAAGGAGCAGGAGGAACAGGATATGGAAGGGCCGAAAGAGGAACAGTCAGAAAACCGGGAGAAAAACGGGAGGGGAGGAGGAGCTGAAGAGGAGAGGGACGGCGAGGACGAACAGGTAGAAAAAGAAGAGGAGGACGGGGAGGAGAAGGAGGAGGAGGAGGAGGGCCGACCCACAACCAGCCACGAGCACAACAGCTCGCAACCCAGGAGCGAACCCCAGAAACCCACCATCACCATCAGTGCTGAGAGTCGTGAATGGAAAAGGAACCCGCGGCGCGGGGTAGTGCCGTTGCCGCCGTCAGTCGCCTGCTCGTTTGCTTCAATCGCCTGCTAGTTTGTTCTGCTCGCCTGCTCGTTTGCTCTGCTAGCCTGCTCGTTTGTTGTTAGGTTCTGTTCGAGTTTAAATGTTGTTGTTGCCTGCCCGTTTGCCCTGACGCACTGTCGGTTTGAATGTTGATTTGCCTGTTTGCGTTTCGCCTGCAACAGGGACCCTCTGGAGGCATCCCAGAGGGAGACGCCGTGCGAGGCGGGGCCCGAGGCCTCTGGGTGCTGAGGGGGCAACCAAAAAAGGCCTAGAGGAGGAGGTGCGGGCGGCTCCTTTGTCAAGACGAGGTTTTCGCTCGAGCTCCACTTCAGGTCCTCCCGAGGTATCCCAGAGGGAGGCGCCGTGCGAGGCGGGGGCCCACGCCTCTGGGGGCTGAGAGGGGCAACCAGAGAGAAGGCCCACAGGAGGAGGTTGAGGGCGGCTCCTTTGTCAAAACGAGGTTTTCGTTGGAGCTCCACCCCATGTCCTTTCGATGTATCCCAGAGGGAAGCGCCGCGCGAGGCGATGCCCGAGGCCCCAGGGGGGCTGATGGGGGCAACCAGAGGAGGCCCAGAAAAAGAGGAGGCGCGGGCGGCTAATCCTTTCAAAGCGGCGAAAACGAGGGAGGTAGCGCCGATGCGCATCTTCTCCTCCCGCGACAGGGGCCCAATCAGGAAGGAGCGCAGCCGAAGGAATGCAGCCGCGGCCACCTAGCCACAAAAAGCTACTCCAGATTTCGTAATAAAAGGGAGGGGCTCTGGACCCTCCCAGACAAGCCATTTCAGACCCCCCCCGTGGGAGAACCCTCCAAAACATCGTCCCCAGACCCCCCCAGGCCCTCCACGATAGCCTGGAAGAGACCCCCCCGAAGTGAGACCCCCTCCCTTTTTATAACGAAATCTGGAGTACTCAGGCGGCTTTCAGATGACTCAGAAAGGCTCTCAGAAGGCTCTCAAGGATCTATCGGGAGCATGCCAGAGGCCTTTTCCGGGTCTCCCAGAGGTGCCTCTGAGAGCCCTCAGAGGCTTCTCAAAGGGAGATCGCTCTGAGGGCCCTCAGAGGCCTCCACGAGGGCTCCAAGGGGTCTCTCAGAGGGCTACCGGAGACCTCTCAGAAGCATCCCTGGGGGACCCCAACGGCTTCCAATGGAAGGTTGACACGAAGCCTTTCTCAGAGGCACCCAGAAACCTGTCCAGAGGGCGTCAACAACCTTCTCAGAGGCTGCCAAGGATCCTCTCACGGGGCCGCCAGGAGGCCTCTCAAGGGCAGCCAGGAGGCCTCTCAGGGACCGCCAAGAACCCTCTCAGTGGCCGCCAAGAGGCCTCTCAGGAGACGCCAAGAGGCGAAGGACCGCCAAACAAACCTCTCAAGGGCCACCAAGAACCGTCTCAGGGGCCGCCAGGAACCGTCGCTGGAGCCGCCAAGAACCCTCTCAGGGGCTGCCACGAACCCTTTTTCTTCAGGGGCCGCCAAAAGCCCTCCCAGGGGCCGCCCAGGACCTTCTCAAGGGCCGCCAAGAGGCCTTTCAGGGGCCGTCAAGAGGCCTCTCAGGAGCCACCACAAAGCCTCTTATAGAGGGGCCGCCAAGAGGCCTCTCAGAGGCCGCCGAGAGGCCTCGCAGGAGCCGTCAGGAGGCCTCTCAGTGGCCGCCAAAAGCCCTCCCAGGGGCCGCCCAGGACCTTCTCAAGGGCCGCCAAGAAGCCTTTCAGGGGCCGTCAAGAGGCCTCTCAGGAGCCACCAAAAAGCCTCTTATAGAGGGGCCGCCAAGAGGCCTCTCAGAGGCCGCCGAGAGGCATCGCAGGAGCCGTCAGGAGGCCTCTCAGTGGCCGCCAAGAGCCCTCTCAGGGGCCGCCAAGAAACAGAAGGGCCGCCCATAACGCTCTCAGAGGCCGCCCAAAACATTCTCTGGGGGCCATAACATCCTCTCAAAGGCCGCCCAAGACCCTCTCAGAGGCCGCCCAGCACCCTCAGGGGCAGCCACAAACCCTCTCATACGACGCCAAGAAACGCCCCAGGGGCCGCCAAGAGGCCTCTCAGGGGTCGCCACAAACCCTCTCGTGGGCCGCCAAGAACCCTCTCGGGGGCCGCCAAAAGGCGTCTTAGGGGCCGCCGAGAACCCTCTCAGGGGCCGCCAAGAGCGTTCTTGGGGGCCGCCAAAGTGCGCTCAAGGGCTGCCAAGAGCCTTCGTGTAGACCGGCCGCCAAGAACCCTCTCAGGGGCCGCCAAGAACCTTTTTGGGGGCCGCCGAGAGGGGGGCCAACATGAACCCTCTCAGTGACATCCAAGAACCCAATCAGAGGCCGCCAAGAACCCCCTCAGGGGCCGCCAAGAGCCTCTCAGGGGCCACCAGAACCCTCTTAGGGGCCGCCAAGGGGCGTCTTAGGGGCCGCCACACAAACCTCTCAGGGGCCGCCAAGAATCTTCTCTGGGGCCGCCAAGGGCCGTCTCAGGGGCCGCCAAACAAACCTTTCAGTCAGGGGCCGCCAAAAACCTTCTTGGGGGCAGGCAAGAACCCTTTCAGGGGCCGCCAAGAACCTTCTCGGGGGCCGCCAGGAACCCTGTCAGGGGCCGCCAAGAACCCTTCCAGGGGCCGCCAAGAACCTTTTGATGAGGGCCGCCAAAACCCGATCAGCGGCCGCCAAGAATCTTTTTGGGGGCCGCCAAAACCCTCTCAGGGGCCGCCAAGAACCCTCTCAAGGGCCACCGAGAACCCTCAGGGGCCGTCAAGAACTTGCCAGGCCGCTCGAGAACCCTTTTCAGGAATTCCATCTACAGAAAAAAATCGAACTTCCGCTGGGGAACGAGTCGTTCAACCGGGGAACGAGTCGTTCAACCTAGGAACAAGGCTTTCTCGCGTTAGGGCGGGGGGTGGGGGGGCGTTTTTGTTTAAGGGTTACGGGGTGGTGGTGGGTCTCCCTCCCAGAGCCCCTCCTCAAGTAGAGTTCTTGGGAGGGTTCGGGGGGGTGGTGGGTTTGCCCCGCGGATCCCCCCTCAAGGGGGGGGGTCTGTGGTGCGTTAAGGGGGGGTCCCCCCCCCGAACCCCGCCTCAAAGGGCGTTCTTGGGAGTGGGGGTAGGGGGTTGGTGGGCTTCCCCCCACCCACCCACCCTGAAAAGTGTTTTTATGAATGGTTGGTGTGGGGGGGTCCCACGGGGGGTCCCCCCCCAGACCCCACCCCTCTCAAGGAAGTTCGTTCTTTGGAAGGTTACAAGAAGTTGGTAGGCTGCCCTCCAAGAAGCCACCCTGAGGGGTTCTTCTGGGGGGGGGCGTTCGGGGGATGTTGGTGGGTTTCCCCCCGGACCCCCTCCCTCGAGTAGGATTTTGGGGGGGGTAGGGGGGGTTGGTGGTCCTCCTCCTCCTCCTCCTCCTCCTCCTCCTCCTCCTCTCCTCCTCCTCCTCCTTCTCCTCCTCCTCCTCCTCCTCCTCCTCCTCCTCCTCCCTCCTCCGCCCTCCTCCTCCTCCTCCTCCTCCTCCTCCGCCTCCTCCTCCTCCTCCGCCTCCGCCTCCTCCTCCTCCTCCTCCTCCTCCTCCTCCCCTCCTGCCACTGCTGCTCCCGCTGGCAGCATTGTGAAAGAGGGCAAACTGTTCCCTCCTTTGGCACGCTTCACGGCACGGATAAGCTGGTCGTTCTCCACCTGCCCGCATCGCTCTTACAGAATCGAGCCACTGATACTATGCAGATGCAGTGAGCAGGAGCAAGCTGCAGATCTGCTCAGACAAACCATCGCGACAAGTCAGTCCTAGCAGCACCACAGCTGTCAAACAAAAGAACCACGTGCCAGGAGATACTGGACCACGTAGGTATTTGGGGGGAGTGTCCTACGGTCATCGCTATTGAGTGACTCGGATCAGAGGGAGGAAGGGGGGCCAGGAGAATGTTTCTCATGCTCGGCGGTAACCTGAATTATCTGAGGGGTGAAGTAAGGGTGCGCCAGCCGGTAACCTGACACTTTCGTTGTTGGCAGCTCCACATATGCCTCTGCGCACCACCCGCTGGTGTAAACACAACATGCTGGGCCATGCCAATGCCACCATAGCCAGTGAGCGCAACGACTGATACCAGAGAAACAACACAATCAAAGTCTGTCTAGGGCTATAGGGCTATGGGGCTATTGGGCGGTAGGGCGATGGGGCTATGGGGCTATGAGGCTATAGGGCCATAGT